AAATAACGATGCCAAAAGGTTTTCTTGAAGGATACCAGTTTCCAGCATGTGTGCTGACTTACATAAAGGTTGAGCATTGGTCACGAACATGTCCAGCAACAACAGCAAACCGCCAAGGCTTAGAGCCGTCTTTTTCATGTTTCAGGGAAAACAACACTATAATCAGGAATTAAGTTCTTTTCTTTGCCCCGCTATCGCTTCGTCTAGTGTCGTGTAGTAGAATTGTTCATAAGGAGACTAAATCAAGAATCCTTGCAACATACAGCATGTCAGATATATCGCGTTGTCTCAGTTTTTTATACAAGGTAGTTTTCAAAAAAAGAATTTATTCCTGCGAAAGAATATTTCAAACAACGTTCTTCTTTATAAATATTTGAAGCCAATCTTGACTCGATGCTTGAAGAAGTAGATATCAGTAGAACAGGATTGTGGGATTCAGGAGAAAAACGTGAAATTGATTACTTACTTTAGTGAGAGTGTTATAAGATAGAATGCCAAGAGTAATTGGTTTTCTTATTCTCCAAGGGTGTAGACGATGCATAATTTATGATATTCATGAACAGGTTAATAATTTGAATCAGAATTACTCTTATAAAAGTAGGCTTAAGTGAGAGTTTTCATTCACAAATCAGTCTAAAACAGCTAGTGTTTTTTAKCTTTTCGTCCTATGTTCTTCACTTTGTGCAGTCAGATTGTAAAAATCTTGGGTGCCTGTGTAGAAGGGTTCTCTATTGTGTATAGGAATATTTTTATCAATATATATATAACTAAAAAAAGAGTCCTTATTTGTGAATAGAGGCAGAACAAAGGTGCCCATTGATTGTATTCATTTGTTCTTTATCAGTATGGTTTCTTGGGTCCTCGGAAACCATGCATTACGCACATGCATATAACGTTGTAATATCCCCGAGAATGCACACATTTAGATGTCCATAAAACTTAAATATTACAAAATTGGTGCTATAAATGATAATATAAGTAGGAGACAACCGGTCTGTTCTTCTAAATAACTGTTCTTGTACAACGTTTAACCCTGGGAAAGGGATTTTGAGCTACATTATTCGGACAATCTCACATTTTTATTTTCCTGGCAAAAATTCTTAGGGAGTATTCCTTGCCTGGAGAGTTTTTTTCGATTTCTTTCCTGAAGTTCTCGCTGGCAACCAGTTGTGACTTCTTACAGCTGGTTGAGACATAAGAATACTTAGATATATTTCTCCCAGCAACCCGTAAGCTCCTCCTGATAATTTAGTGCAGTTATTGCTAATTAACGCTTTAGTAATCAAGATTAAGTGTTTCTTTCAGTCATGAAATATCTATTCGGTGACTTTTCTAGCAATTCTGTTAAGCAATCGGTTTAAAAGGACTTTATGTGAATACATCTTGGATTCAGTTAYCAGGGCAGCCGTAGACTTCAGCTCTMAGGGCAGGGGCTTCGGAAAAGGTAACGACAACAAWTCGAATATAGCGACATCTGACTGACTCTGGAAGCTTGTTTGTGACAATAGTGTCACGGTCAGTGTTCCCAGGGAAGACNCCCATATAAACTCTGTAAAAAAAACCTCTCGCGTTAGCGACCATCTCTCGTAAGCGACCACTTTTTCCTGATCCCGAGGTGGTCGCTTACTAGAGAGTTGACTGTACAAACTCTGAAGAGTTCTATTTAGTTGTATATAGTAAATCTTGCATGCGGTACGGCAAATTAAATTGAATTGATACAAATGAAGCATTCAATACCGTCTTGCTTCAGGTCCACTTTTAGTACAAACTAGTACTACTTAGATTTTGTACAGTTGTTGCACGGATTAAGTGCGTTCACTCGACTAGTGGCTTTCGGTTGCGCAATGTCCCTTCGACAATCGCCGTTCGTCGTCCTCCCCGACAACGTTTTTTGAAATAGCTGTATAAAGACAGTGATAATCTGCGTTGTCATGTTAACGAATAGTGGTCAATCCACCGTGAAGCATCAGGTCCCAAAGGATATTATCAATATTATCAATATTATTATTATTATTATTATTGTTATTTTTGCTGTTTTCTGACGGTTAACAACACGAAAATGCGCGCAAACTTTTTAGAGTCGTCACCGTTGTACCGTGAATTATGATCAAAATAAACAGCAAATATTTATTTATTTGCGTTGCTGTAGAATCAAGACACAAGACAAATCTAAAGCTATAATAACCACACAAGACGCAATGAAACGCGTTTGGAGTCTTTATTCTCTGCGCCGCAGCAAAACTATGACAGAAGGCATTGTAAGGCTAAATTGGAAATACTGTAACAATAGCACACCCAGTACGCAAATGAACGTGTTTTCTAACGAGTATATTATAAGAGCCTAAACTAAACATCAAAACAAGACGCACTGAAATGACCCGCAAAAACCTTTCTAGAACTCATTAATAATTCATGAACTATTAGTCCAATTAGTATCGAACTATTGGGTCACATGATGGGCCTTTATATCCCGATAAAGCACTGATGTTTTATTAATCAGTTCTATGTGATATTTAAAAAAACGAGTAGGTGTGTTTTATTTAAGGAATAAAAGACGAAATTCCGTGTTTGATACTCTGATCAAAACACGCGGGATGTAGGGAGAGCACGAGAGAAGCGTAGGAAACCACGACGCGTAGCGGAGTGGTTTCCAGCTTTTCGAGTGCTCTCCCTACATCCCAAGTGTTTTGATTAGAGTATCAAACACGGAATTTCGTCTTTTATTTCTTTTCTAAAATTAAAAGAATACGAAAATTGTAAAGAATTCTGACTTTTGATACGATATGAAACGATGAATTCTCCTTACATTGCAGTTGTCTGCAGCTTCTGTAGCTTCTAAAACGTTTGATGGCTCTTCTTCTGGGATATCATCCCAGAGGACATCATAAATAGGCATTTTTTCGTTCATTGTTCTTGAAAATGAATGATAACAACAACAAATGCAAACGGCGGGAAAAAAGAAATTTTTGACGCGCGCGAGCGTGTTTTGATACTGTAATCAAACATGGTTTTMGACCAATCACAGCGCGCGTAGTATCCTAAATATTTTAGAATACCTAATCATACCTTATCAATATACAAAATATGAATAGATTTGATTTTTCGAGCCTTGCCAAAAAATTTCAGTTTTGTCTGGTAAAATTGGTCGGCTATAAATGATAATATAAGGAGGAGACGACCGGTCTGTTCTTCTAAATAACTGTTCTTGTACAACGTTTTTCCCTGGGAAAGGGATTTTGAGCTACATTATTCGGACAATCTCACATTTTTAGTTTCCTGGCAAAAATTCTTAGGGAGTATTCCTTGCCTGGAGAGTTTTTTTCGATTTTTTTCCTGAAGTTCTCGCTGGAAACCAGTTGTGACTTCTTACAGCTAGTTGAGACATAAGAATACTTAGATATATTTCTCCTCCTAGCAACCTGTCGGCTCCTCCTAATAATTTAGTGCAGTTATTGCTAATTAACCGCGCTTTAGTAATCAAGATTAAAGTGTTTCTTTCAGTCATGAAATATCTATTCGGCGACTTTTCTAGCAATTCTGTTAAGCGATCGGTTTGAAATGACTTTAATATTTGTACATCTTGGATTCAGTTATCAGGGCATCCGTAGACTTCAGCTCTCAGGGCAGGGGCTTCGGAAAAGGTAACAGACACAAATCGAATATAGCGACATCTGACTGACTCTGGTAGCTTGTTTGTCACAATAGTGTCACGGTCAGTGTTCCCAGGGAAGACCTGTAGAAAAGGAATTTTTAATTTACTCGATGAATGAAAACCAAATTGACGTGCAGTGAATACTACAAAATATTGTACCTAAGCACCAAGGAACACTTCATTTAAGTTCACAGTGTTTACTGAGGAATAGTAACTGCCGATAATATCTGTTTTACTAACCTTGAGTGCCCCTCCAACCTTGTAGTCAGTGAAAGTCCCRTTATTAAGAGCATAAGAGAGACTATATGAGGTARTCCAGGTGYTATGTGCGTATGGTCTACCTTGGGTGGCTACCATGGTAACTCGGTAAGCATTCCCAAGATCCACCTGAAGATATTCCCCTGCAACCTTGTTTTTAGCTTGCCAGCAACCGGCATCTACACTAGAGCTGTAGGGCATTTTGGGTTGCATCCTGAGTCGTCCTCGCCATGGTTCGTGGCCGATAGAACAGCAGAAAGAGGAAGCAGAGATCCTGTTGTTTGGAATGATTCCTGATTCTAAACCAAGCGGTGACTTGCATACTGCAAAGAACATAAAAAGGTGACAAAGAATAAAAATTAATAGAATAGAATCACCATGTTTCATTTTGCACTTGATTTTTTTGCATATACCTCGACAGTTGTAATCGTTTACGGCATCGTCAATGGAACAAATATGTCCTGTACTGCAGTATGCATCACTGCAATAATCATTCTTTATCTTAATGTAAACCCCTCCCATGTCATACACGAGGTGCAGAGGTCTTGAAAGATGCGTTGCCTTGTTGAGATGACACTTCTTCTGTTCTTCGTAGTAGTTGATACTAAAGCATTCTGACTTCTCTTTACATTCCATCTCGCATTGTGCTTGACTGGTGACAAACAACGATGCCAAAAGGTTTTTTTGAAGGATACGAGTTTCCAGCATGTATGCCGACTTA